TTTAATTGTTAACTCCGTGCACTGTGTAATTTCACTGAGATACAAGATTGACGATATCAAAGGAATGCTTTCATCCCGAACATTGCGTACCAAACTTGTGATCCAAACGTGTGACTCTGTTTACAGTTTTCATATGACCGTCTATGGTTACGTGGAAGAAATACTTCTATGTTATTTGAACGAATAATTATAGAACAAGGCCGACAAAGGAAAAAAAAGTTTTATCACATTTCCTGCTGGTGAAATTAGATAAATTACTTATTGCATTTTTTTAAACAAAAAACACGACAACTTCGGTAATAAATATAGGACCGACAGTTTCTCTTAGGATCGGTCAGGTGACGCCAAATATGGTATATATTTGTTGGGCTTACATAAAATTTTACATTAGAATATTTGAAGGCGAGATAATTCATGCGGTAATGCATGTATTCATTCTACGGTTATGTAACAGAGATAAGTATCAATAATTTAATAAAAAAATTACACAAAATCTTGTTCTTTGGTTGCTATATATAGTCAATATTGGAAACACAATCTTTTCATACACTACCTTTTCTTGTATTGTAATAGATTCATACAAGATTTTACATGTTGCTTGTAGGCGTTCGGCGCTGTTGAGGCGATGTCGGATCGCTACTGCATCGCGTCAGGTGGCAACACAAACGTACACGTTTCCGCAGAGGACCTGCTCACCTGCTGTCAAGAATGCGGATTTGGGTTATTATATATCTCTCTCTCTCTCTCTCTCTCACTGAGTAATGAATAAAATAAGAATAACAACAATAATAATAATAATAATAATAATAATAATAATAATAAACATTAAACGATCCGTTTTCACTTGGGCTTATTGTCGTGCTAACATGATTTCAATAGCACTAAGCAAAGAAGAGCGAGTCCGCTGCGTGACTGCATATTTTAAAAGTTATACTTACTTGTATATTATAGTTATACTTACTCTGCACATTATTACAGGTGCTCTGGAGGCTTTCCGAGTAGTGCCTGGGATTACTGGACGAACGTCGGACTTGTCAGTGGTGGGCAGTGCAACAGCAAGCAAGGCTGCCGACCGTACTCCTTACCTACTTGCGACCATCACGTAAACGGAACTAAGCCACCCTGTCCTGACATTCTGCCGACTCCACTTTGCACGAAGGAGTGCGAGAGCGGATTTCCCTTATCCTACGAGCAGGATCTTCATTTCGGTAGTTATCAGCGTATTAGACTTACGTGTTCCGAGGATAAAGCGTTACAAATGAAGACGACGATAAATTAAACGAATGAGTGAATAACTAGAAATAATTACCCACTAATGAACACCAATGCTGCCATGTGCATTTTATATATATATATATATATATATATATATATATATAATATATATATATATGAGGATTACTATGTAACACTTTAGTTAATAAGTGATTTCTCTACCTGAGTAAACATTCTATGCTCGTGAGTAATTATTATAACGTTTCTTGTCTAACACGCATGATGAGGTGCGTCTTCGTACAGCGTCAGTAGCGAGGTGACACAGATTCAAACTGAGATCATGACTAAAGGCCAGTGGAGGCAGCCTTTAGTGTCTACGCGACTTCCTTAGCTACAATACTGCGTATGGACACAATTGTATGTAGTGTAGTAGTTATTATTAATTGTGTTGTGGCTGTAGGACATGACTGTTTTGATCTTATTAGCTTTGTCTAGGCCGTTGCTACCAACACGGACTCGAGATCTAACCATAACCCTTAGTCCAATTCCTTCATCCCAACGATAAACTTAAAACGATCATTTCTTAAATAAATCGAAAAATGAATAAATTTAGACTCATCTGTTCGCGTACATATTGCTGATTACTTCAGCATAAAAATTATTAGGAGTTCCTGCTGTTATAGGCTCTATAAGTAACAGTAAATGAACAGCAAACGCTCGCCTGCTAAGTCATATCTGATATCGCGATAACGGGATGTTCAAACTCTGTTTCGTATTTTGGTATCGGTGTGTTGGTGTGTTATGCCGTTGTTCGTTGCGTTGTTTGTAGGTTCATTGTTTATTTCAATGAAGTAAATAGAAAAGAACGCGAAGCGATGTGTTCTCTTCGCGTTTCGCACAAATCACTGATGTCATAACATAATTTTTTCCGTGATGCAGGTGTTTACCAACACGTAACCGGAGAGGAACTCGGAGGCCACGCCATTAAGATCCTGGGCTGGGGTGTCGAGGGTGGCACGCCCTATTGGCTGGTTGCTAATTCGTGGAACTCTGACTGGGGCGATCAAGGTATTGTAACACCAGCAATCACGTTGTAATCCTCATGTTATCTGATTGCAACGTCATGACCGCCTGTAACAACATGTCTACCTGCAGAAACATGTCTACCTGCAGAAACATGACTACCTGCAGAAACATGACTACTTACAGCAACACGACTACCTACAGCAACATGACCACCTATAGCAACATGACCGCCTGTGGCGACATGACCGCCTGTGGCGACATGACCGCCTGTAGCGACATGACCGCCTGTAGCAACATGACCGCAATGCACGGCGATGCAAACATAACCTCCAACCGCTTGCCCTCGCCTCCGCCATACAGGGGCGTGTACAGGATTTGTACCGGGGGGGGGGGTCTAACCGTAACACAAACTTGCGAGCACGCGAAGGGGGGGGGGTCTGGGGATGCGTAGACCCCCCTTAGATGCGTTTTTCTGCGCGGAGCAGGCCCCCCCCCCCCTGTACACGCCCCTGCCATAGACCTGTCAGCTGCAACCGCGACATGCATATAATGCAATGGTGATGACAACGACGGCGACGGTGGCGGCGGCGACGACGACGATAATGATAATAATAATACACTTAACGTAAAATAAATTGCCAACAGAAAGCCATTGAAAATCAGTTGTCTCGCTGCGTTATATTCTATACGATACACTGTTGCACCTAATTACGCATTTTCACAAAAGCTCGCGTGATCCCGAGTGCTTGCTCAGGTAATCAGGTTGATCAGGTGCTTGCACACGGCTCAACAACATTAGCGCGCAGCTTGCATCACATTTGCCAGAGCATACCTATTACAATAATTCGTAGCTTCACGCATGCAGATAATGTATAGGATGTTACAGAGAGACGCATCCGCGGAAATAACGAGGGATTCGTTTTCTAGGAAGCGATGTTTGAGCAAGCAATAACAACAGTTGAACGCGATAATCAACACACTACACATCACTGAAGCCTTATAAGACGCACTAAGAAATAACCACATATACGATGAGCGTAATAGTTTAGTTTAGATTATCACTTATTTTCCTCTTCTATCATGCATAATTTCGCGTAATAGAACATCCAAGAAAGTTTATGAAGGTAGACGCAAGCAATTACCTATTATGTCACGATATATTTGATGTAAAATTGGAAACTAAGTTAGAAGCTCTACGCGCGCGACTGTGAGTATATTTTTATCTGGTAGGTGTTTCGATTCGTTTATACCGTGCTACGATACCGGAAAATAGATGAACCAGAACAACGCGACACCGAGCTATTGTTGTACCCTTCGTTCTTTTCCTTCAACATTCCTAAACATGTAAGAAAAGAATTATTTTTACAGGGTTACTNCATTTGTCTTTCAACAACTGTCATTGAGATCTAAATATGTTTGCTACCCGAGACGAATGTTTTATTCCAATGTCAGAGAGTCGGCTGTGTTGCAAAAGACTGTTATGCCTCATTGATAAACTAGTGTTCACACCTAGTGTTCACGTGATTTTTAAAATATCCACGAAGACGGCATCTGCTCTGAGCGTTGAACGTGAACGGAAACAACGGCATATGTTTCTGTTGTATCACAGCAAATATCTGCTGTGTAGAACATATATTGACTTTATCAGCCGATCGTCACGGGATAGTATGACGTTTAAATTGTCGTGTCTGCGTCTATCGTCCCTCGGTTTTCATATAGCTGACTTTTTCGTCGCATGCTTGGCCATACATGGAGTCGCGCAATTGGCTGCAACAGTGCTGAATAACTAACTATGTGAAAATTGTATAAAGCCCGGAGCACACGTGAGTAATTTGACGCATGCGTTATTTTACTCAATATCAAACGTGTTTGATAATTTTTGACTCATACGTCATTTTACTCAACGTGTGCGCGCACGTCATTTACCTCAACACTGGTACTCACAGAATGCGTTTAATCTTGTGCGCCCAGTATTGCTGGCGCCAGTAACGTTATCTGCATTACACTTATAACGTGGGAAAAAAGAATTTGTACTCACAGTTTTGCGGGCGGACGCTGAAATATAACGGCGTGGGTAAATGACTCATGCGTCATTTTACTTGAGTAAAAATTAACTCACGTGTGCAGGGGGCGCACGACAAGAGGGCTTATATATGTTCCATATTCGCCCTCGCGCGGCGTGCTGAGAGTACAGATAATCTATATACGACGTCGCACATTTGTTTTCCACAATTGCCGTCGCGTCGCGTGTTTTAAATCCTTTCTACCGCAATACAACTATATAATTACTTAATATTTTAAACTAATTTACTACGATTGCAACTATATTTAAAAATAATTATTGTTACCTATGGGGATGGCATTACCTTCGTGCATGGCTGCTGATGTTTCTGCGTAAATTCTGTTAACTTGAGGAGTATAATATACTAAACCGATCATTGTTTAAAAGTTACCCCGTTCTGTTTGATTTGTTTATTGTTTAACGTAACAGTTATGCAAGCGAGAGCCTCTCCCTCTCCACCTAACTCGAATGTAAAATGATGTTTTTATCCGAATATAGACGCAACATGCCCGTACCCACACACATACACACACGCGCGCGCGCCGCACACGCACACGCACACGCCCGCACACGCAAACGGCACGCCACACACACACACTACATACGCACACCACCGCGCCACAACACAAACACGCGACCACTGTAAAGCACAACACCGCACGCGCGCACACACACACACCACAAACACGCCGCAACGCCACACTACAACACATCACACCACAACTCGCGCACTAACGCTCGCGCAACGCACACGCGCACGCACACGCAAGACACGCGACTGCAGCGGGTGTACGCCAGCCCACACACAAACATCACAACGCACCAAAACGCACACGCCCGCAGCACGCCACGCACACGCGACACGCACACGTCATCGCACGGCAGCACACCCGAACCACGGCGCAGCGCACGGACACCACCTACATACAGACAGACACAGCGCACGCAGCATAGCAGCAGCACGTCGCACGTACACAGCACACACACGCTCACAACAGCGACGCGCACAACACCACCGTACCACGGCACACGCACACACACAGCACACCACACGGAGAACAACACACACCACACGCAACGAACGCGACACACACACACACGCACGCACGCACGCACGCACGCGCACGCACACACACACAACACACAACACGCACACACACACACACACACACACACACAGCACCTCAACTGCCGCGCTTATGATGTGTGCATGCATGTAATGTCGTGAGTAAACATATGTGACAGGTACGAAATTGCTGCTATTTGAGAGAAACGGATGATTACATTGTTTCGTATCTTGTCCAATAACGCAAATAATGACAGCAAATGATGTCTATTGTTTTCGCCAACCATTATTGAATATCACTAAACTAGAACACGTCAAACAAAAAAGTTATCTATTATGTCACGATATATTTGATGTAAAATTGGAAACTAAGTTAGAAGCTCTACGCGCGCGTCTGTGAGTATATTTTTATCTGGTAGGTGTTTCGATTCGTTTATACCGTGCTACGATACCGGATAATAGATAAACCAGTANTGGAAATTTTATTAATTAATTAATTAGTTAATTAAATAATTGGATCCGGATCACCACCAAAATGTAATCAATTCTAAGTTACCCCATTTCTGACCTATCCTGAAAATTTTATTAATTAATGAATTAATTAATTGGATCCGGATCACCACCAAAATCTAATCAGTTCTAAGTTACCCCATTTCTGACCTATCCTGAAAATTTTATTAATTAATGAATTAATTAATTGGATCCGGATCACCACCAAAATCTCATCAATTCCAAGTTAGCCCATTTCTGACCTATCCTGAAAATTTTATTAATTAATGAATTAATTAATTGGATCCGGATCACCACCAAAATCTCATCAATTCTAAGTTAGCCCATTTCTGACGTATCCTGATAATTTTATGACGATCCGTCTATAACTTTTTTAGTTAGGCTTGACCTGTATGATACAGGCGGTTCCGGCGCGGCCGCGGCGGCGGTGACGGGCCAATCAGCCAATCAGCGAGCGTACACAAACCCACAAACCCACAAACCAACACTCAAACACACACCGGTAAAAACATAACCTCCGCCAAGCCCCTGGCGGAGGTAATAATAGAGCGGACAGACTACACGCGATCTACTGTCGCCACACGGCTCCAAAAATGGCTCCAACAGTTCCTGTTCTATGCATTATAACATCGGCCGGCTTGACGGACTTGTGGCCCCGGTTTTTGCACGCAGCGCACAGCTCGCGGCGAAGCCGCGCCCTAACAGCGAATATGCCGCCCCCTTTTTGTCCACTTAGACAGATACCTTAGACAGGGGTCTGAAAACGAACTCCGCGAAAACTGGGCGCAATCCAACCAACATTTCGCGATGGACGGCAGGAGGCCATCTCCAAACGGCCCCTAAACTTTTTTGGGGGTGGCGCGCCTCATGGCTAAGACGTAATGACTCCTACAAGAAAAATTAGTTCTCATTTTCATTCGCAGAAAGCTTAAAGAATAAAACCGGTGATCATTTCACGACAAAAACACGCGACCGTTACTTAGCAGTGACTTAGCAATTACTTAGCAATGACGTGTAAGCTCGTGTACGGTTGCGTGTTGTCCTCATATATTTATTTATCCTACTGTACAGGATTCTTCAAGATATTGCGGGGAAAGGATGAATGCGGTATTGAGAGCGAGATTTCCGCTGGAGTTCCGCTGTCATAATAAGCTTGGCAACAAAAGGATGTATGTAAACCGCTGTAATAGATGTTAAAAAGATCAGTCTGAAATCCAAATAAATATGAATCATATCAAAAGAGATTCAATCAGAGAGTAAACGGTTACGCATTAAAGAACATGTGACGTAAAACTAATAATGTCATAGCTCTATGTACTGCACTTAATGTTATGGAGTGTAGTCAATTTGATTCAAATTGAGTTTAAAATCACGCTTAAATAATATAAATGTATTTTCAAAGGCACATGAAAAAATACAAGAAACCTGTATGAAATGTATTCGTTTAATTCATATATATGCTTAAATGTTTAGAAGCTAGTGTGATCTGAATAAAACCGAACTTTCACAACGTAAACGTTGTTCAGACACAAACCATGGCTCCGTTGTCAAAAACAAAATTAGACTTAACATTAGTCTTTACGTTAACATTCTCTCTTAGACGTTGACAGAAACATGGTAATGTTAGAACTTTCTCATACGCAATGTCTACAGGTTCGGGTCTACGAGTAAGCGTTAATAAGACCAATGTTAAGAATAATTTGGTTTCTGATAACGGGCCTAAGGCACTCACAATAACCTGTAGGAGCAGCAATAACACCATCATATGGACACCACCTTTCATCCTGATCATATGCCGCGTTGATATTGGCAACTATTCTACAGACACGGCAGTTTGGCAGACGAAAACAACAGCGATATCATATTATTTTTCATTTGTCATTTACAGACTCATATGCTGCAAAAAACAAATTTATTCTGTTAACGAAAGTTTTTAAATGATGGGTGTCAGGGTGTCTACATAAGCAATATCTGCAAACAAGTAAATAGCAAGACGAACTTATTTATATAGGAATTATAACATTGCAAATATTTCGAACGATTATTTTATACAGGTATTGCATACCTCATGTTGGAGATGATTTTCTATTCAAATTTACGACGATACAAGATTTGTCGATTATCTACTAAAATCACAGGCATTCCCGTTGAAATGTATCTGATGGAGCCAGATGGTAGGGTGCGTGCGCAAAGGTTTACACATGACAACTAAAGCGGGGAACACAGGTAGTTCCATAAAGGTATTGCATACCTCATGGTGGAGATTATTTTCTATTCAACAAAGTTTTACGACGATACAAGATTTGCGCTTATATTTTTTACTAAATCTCACAGGCCATATCCCGTTGAAAATGTATCTGATGCAGCCAGATGGATGGTGTGCCGTGCGGCAAAGGTTACAACATAGACAATAAAGCGGGGAACAACAGCTAGTTCCAACAAAGGTATTGCATACCTCATGCTCGGAGATGATTTTCTATTCAAATTTACGCACGATAAAGATTTGTCGATTATCTACTAAATCACCGGCATTCCCGTTGAAATGTATCTGATGGAGCCAGATGGTAGGTGCGTGCGCAAAGGTTTACACATGACAACTAAAGCGGGGAACACAGGTAGTTCCATAAAGGTATTGCATACCTCATGTTGGAGATGATTTTCTATTCAAATTTACGACGATACAAGATTAGTCGATTATCTACTAAAATCACAGGCATTCCCGTTGAAATGTATCTGATGGAGCCACATGGTAGGGTGCGTGCGCAAAGGTTTACACATGACAACTAAAGCGGGAGACACACTATACAATGCGAATGTCGCTGCAATCAGATCTGCAGCGATAAATATAGCGATAAATATAGCTGTAAACTAAGCACTCGGAGAGCACAGACCATCCGCCCAAGCGCAGCTGAATTCTCTCAATTGTGAAATTTTTTTATTAATGTAATAATTAATTAAGTGGAAAAATTAATATTTTATATAAAAACATAAAACAATTAATTTGGATCGGATGACGCACACGAATAATGTAATCAATTCTAAGTACCCAGTATCTCGATCCTATCCTGGAATTTTCTATTAAATTAATTAATTAGTTACATAAAATAAATTGGATCCGGATGCACCACTCAAAATGTAATCAATTCTAAGTTACCCCATTTCTGACCTATCCTGAAAATATTTATTAATTAATGAATTAATTAATTGGATACCGGATCACCACCAAATCTACCATCATTCTAAAGTTAGCACCTTATTGACGTATCTGAAAGTTTTAATGCACGCATCCGTCTATAATTTTCAGTAGGCTTGACCTGTATGATACAGGCGGTCCGGCGCGGCCGCGCGGCGGTGACGGGCAATCAGCACACAGCGAGCGTACACAAACCACAAACCCACAAACAACACTCAAACACACACGACCGTGAAAAACATAACCTCCGCCAAGCCCCTGGCGGAGATAATAATAAAGCGGACACACTACCACGCGATTACTGCTGGCCACACAGCTCCAAAAATGGCTCCAAAAATTCCTGTTCGATCGCATTATAACATCGGCCGGCTCGACGGACTTGTGCCGCCCAGTTTTGCGCGCAAGCGCACAGCTCGCGGCGAAGCCCGCGCCCTCAAACAGCGAATACGCCGCCCCTTTTTGTCACATTAGACAGATACCTTAACAGGGGTCTGAAAACGACCTCCGCGAAAATGGCGCAACACCAAACCAACATTTTCCGATGGACGGCAGGAGGCCACTCCACACGGCGCCCTAAAATTTTTGGGTGGTGGCGCGCCTCCATCGCGGAATGGCACATATAATCGACTCCACACTACAAAGAAAACCAGCTCTTCTAATGATATTCTCTGAGTTATACTACAGCCGCACGTATCATCTGCGCGTCTGAAATGCTGGTTAGGAACGGAGTCCTTGCCCGCTACAGTCCTCAATGACGTCGCTAATCTGCGAAGTATAGGCCGTTATAGTACATACAGAGTTCAACGAAGTGATACGAGCTCGCGGTTCGTGCAGAAGACACATTTGTGGTAGTGCGGCATTCCGAGAGATATCGCAAAATAGGCAAAAGGAGAGTAAGACACACTAAGACATGCTCTAATAACTCTCAAAAAAGTGAGGCAAATACCGAGTGTCGCAACTTTGAGTTACCCACCATGTAGCGAATTGCAGTGGTGGGCAGCCCACGGGTACCTTGCAGAGTACGCGCCCACCTGGCCTGTCGTAGAATTCGAACCAAACCTCCTGAACCACCGAACTACGAGTACGAGTAAGAACTCGCAATTACATGCTGGGATTGACCCACAGCACCTAATTGGAATGTCGAGGCTCTATAAAAAAAAAGGTAATACAAACACGAATGATACTACCAAAATCAATGTTCTCAAAGA